ATTTTCTAAAATGGAATAAAAGCCCAAAATACTTTGGAACCGGTTATAATGGATATTACACGTTGGCTTGAAAATATGAAGTTAATCTTTGAATGGTGAAAATATTTCACGTGTGGGCGTGGCGAACGAATGAAATATTTTTCAACACAAGAAGATGAACTTCATATCTTCAATCCAACGTGTAATTTCCTTTTTATTATATAGAAAATATGTCACCGAGGTCTTGGATGTAGTTCGTATGAAAAATACGAGTGGCGTACTTCCCAGTAAAAACATCAATGTCTATACAGCTATTTCAAAAAAAGTACTGAATAGTGCATTCTAAGACCAAAGTGCATTGTGGGTCATAGTGACATTGTCTAAAGTAGGATTAATAATTATTATTTATTCTATTTTTAGTGTATTGCATCTGAAACAATATACTAAACACATGTAAATGAATCTTAATTCCTGTTGCTCAAAAAAATCAACTCTAGACCGAATACGTGGTTTTTCGGGCTCTGATTTATCTTCTAGGTGCGGGATCATCACTTCTAATTGCTCGATAAAATCAGCCTCTAGACTTGATAGGTGGGGATTTTCTCGGGTTCTGATTCATCACGATTGAATCTAAGCTGAGCCTTGATACAAGCCCTACAAAATAGACACACTCGGAGATCCCGGCAGCCATCATTATTATGCCCACTATGCCCACTTCAAGTAATATATACAGTATGATTTTTTTTTATCGGATACAACACGGACACGAATACTGTATATGACTTATCAAACGTCTAGGTTAGTTCCTTTGTGTTTCACTAAAATTTTCAAAATCAAAGTGAATCTGGCCAAGAAAATCCAACTTAAAGTTTATGCAAATGAACACAATTTTGTATCAGATTTACAACACTCTTCAGGGTCGTGATTTCTGTTTTGTTTTCCTCATAAATTATTAATGAGTTTGATAATACTTAATACAACCACAGATGTATCATTTTGTGTTGTCTTGGGCCCCGTCCACACGTGTCCGCAAAATTTTGTATCCGTATCCGGAAATTTTACGAAAACGGATATGTGTGGACGGTGAAAACGATTCGAATACGCTGCGTGTGGACGCAAATATTTTCGTGTCCGCAAAACATAATTTGCGGATACAAAACTTTCCGGATACGTATGGACGGGGCCTTGATCGTGGTTCGGTTCTCTGGAATTGAATCAAATAAATACTTTGTATTAAACTGAGTTGCATTCAAGCTCCTTTTTGTTCCTCTCTTTTCTAAGTCTTTTAATAGTCAATAATATTCCCCCATATACCTGCGTTTGTGTCTATCGCTGATATGTTTCTTCCCTCTAACACCGTCAGGTTCAAGGAACGTCCGATTTGGCTGTAGTTCCTTTGCTGTACTAAGCACAAGTATTCTCCCTCATCTGCGGGCTTGGCTTTTCGAATCTTGTATACACAGTGCCCTGTACTATCATTACACAGTGTACGATTCTTCTTCTTGATGATGACAGAAGGCGTTGGACGTCCTTTCGCTTTGCATTCGATAGTCGTTGCGTTACCTTCTTCGACTTCAATTCTTCGCGGCCATGATGAGTTTATGATTTCTGCAGGTTCTGCCGAAGGGTGCATGAAATGAAAGAAAAATTAAATGAACTTTCTTTTTTCTCTTCTTATTGTCATGATATTTAGTGGAGGCTTTGATTATGATTGCTTGCTTTAATGATGATTAATTCGGCATACTTATTCTGGTGCTTAACTTGATACAATGTGTGTAGAGAGAGGGGAGAGAGAGTCATATTACATTTGTTACATAATAGAACCTAATGTTGCGTGACAAGTATATATTATTACACTTATATCCTTCCTTCCTTCCTTCCTTCCTTCCTTCCTTCCTTTCTTCTTATCCTCCTTCTTAGCATGTAACTGACTGACAATCAAAGTATGTTATAACTTACCAAATTTTACAAGTCTCAGCCAATTTGTAAGAGGGCTCCTTTTGAAACCTAGTTGCACCTTTACGCCATACTTCTTGAAGTCCGCATCCGTCAAGTTGTACATTTTGACTATTGCTGTACAATTCACACAGTCGTAAATATTCCCGCTCCAATCCACCTTTCTTTCAAATCCGCTTCCTTTAGATACCACGTTGTTTTCTTGGACAGCCAGGATCTTGTTTTTCACAAAGCCAGAATCATCCCAAACACCAAAAAGAAATTCCCTGAATGTAGATGAACTGGAACAGGATCCGACGTGAAAGTGCCACTCTAATGTGACATCACTGCCTTCGTCTCTGTACACTTCTTCATCAGGTTTATCGATGAACGAATCTGTCGTACTTGAAGCTGATAAAATATAGTTTGCGTTAAACCAGTACATTACCAAATGTTTTTTTTACTAGAGCCACAGATATAATATTGGTCCACGTTAATAGTTAAAGTGAGTTCAAGAGTAACTATAGGCGTCAATTTTATAAGTCAGTAAAAGACTTCCATTGTTTCTTCTACCTTATATTGTTTCTAGTATGAATAAGTTTGATAAATCATATTTTTGTAATGATATTCTAAGTTAGTTATAGAGCACATGCAGTAAAACCATGAAATAAAATCAAAATTGATACTGACAAACGGTGCTGTTTAGTGACTTATAGTACACTCAACAAGATTACTCGACTCTGATTGGTCGAGAGGAGTACAATTATAGCGTTAATTGTACTCCGTA